AAAATAAGATAAATTTCGGTTGTATTAAGTACATTATCATGTTTTATATGAATAGACAAAATATATTTTTTCAATTTTGTATTGTAATCTGTTAACTTAATAATAAACAAGAGGAGTGATATAGATAAAATTTATAATGTTTTGCTGATTATATATAAATATATTATTGCAAGTATTGTGAACAATTCGATCGAGATTTTGTTTCTTATCTTAACTTTTCTTAATATATCTATAGATGATGTCTTATATCATTTATAATTGATTACATCTGGAATCTGAAAAGCTTGATTCGTCATTACTCTCAAATATATTATATTATATTCTTCAGATTCTTTAAAAGATTTTTTTATGATAAATTTTGATTGAATAAAAATAACTACAAAGGAAGTCAATAGTTAAATACACTTCCATGGCTAAAGTTTTATTAAATTGAAAAGAATATTCGGATTTGATGAAATCCGAATATTCTTTCAAAATAATATCTAAAGAACGAATAGTTTAATGAATATTTAAATTTAAATCGATCGATTTATAGTTTATTGAGATCTAAAGTAGATCTATAACATTTACTGGTTTAGGAGAATGATGTGTATTATTAATTTCAATCAATTTTTTAAAAATTATGATATCTTCAGAAAATACGGATATGAATCGGTTATTGGTAACTAGAAGAAGCATATCAATTGCAAACAAAAATTATAGACATAAAGACAGATAAATTTAGCCTTTAATAAAATATTAATATATAGATGAAAACATTTACTATTATCTCAATTTTGATTATAGTTTATCGGTATTTTTTCAATATTGTTTATGGGAATGCAATTGCACTCACTCTGGAAAGTACGATAAGAATCATAGTCTAACTTACTTTTAAAATCAATCATTTTATAAATATGACAAATCGATAATAATTTTTGGGAAAATGAAAAAAACTGGACACAAAAAATTATCTTAGATGATTCTTGTGTATTGTATAACATTGAGTCTAACTGAGACTACGTGTATAAAAGAAGACTAAGATCTTTATATATATAATATATACAGAATATTTTATAAAAGAATCTTTTTAACCAACAGAGAGATATATATAATTAATGTTTACAACACTATCAACTAAAAGAACAATGAAAAAGAAGAATGAATTACTAGATACAAAAGTTTGAAGAAAAACTTTAAAATTATTTTTGTAAGCGATAATGGAGATTTTTTTAAAAAAAGAAATTCGTATTCAAAGAGATATTTTTGGTGTTTTTATTATAAAAAAGGTGACATTTTTATAACTATAATAATTCAGAACAGAACTACGTAGATCATATATACTGAGAAGCTATAAAAGCATTATGGAAAATTCGAAAAATCATAAAAGTCAACATAAGAAATATAAAGAATATAATGTAATAGTAATAAAGAAACTGACATAAATAAATCAGTATTTTGATCATTTGTTAACTCACGCCTTGTTGAATATTTGCATATCAATCTTAAAATCTGAGAAATATGTAAAAAAGTATTATTTATTTATTTAGCTACCTAATTATCATTACACTAAACGAATAAATTTTTATAGAAAAAAAAATTTTATTCTAATGACACACGGAAATAAAATTCGTTACAATAATTATAAATTTTAAGCATCCAAAAGGATTTATACAATATTATTTAAGACCAGAGCTGTGGCTACACCATTTGACACAGGGCAAATTTAAATATGGCGGCTTTTGGATAAGACTCATTAGTTTCTTTATGAAAGTCAAATCATATTCACGAAATCATATTCTATTAACAATTCAGATAGCCCAAAATTTTTATCAAGCCGTTTTTATTGAGGAGAAATCATTGAAAAACTACATATGTATTAAGTAAATTTACCATACACGAGTATACCAATTATTACAATTATTAGACTATTAATTTTTGGAATAAATGTGTTATCTAGACTCTCTCTATATATACAGTATATATATATATAATTTATCTATACTTTATAAGAGCCATGGAAAAAATAATGTAGCAATATACTGTATTTTTTCATAAACAACCGTGTATTTTTGTACGAAAAATCAATTTTCTGAAGTTTAGTCTTTTAATAAAATATTTAAAGTATGATACATACGATAATTGTATTACGAACATCAGCCAAATAAAAAAAAATGTACAGTACATATCGTTATTCATTAAGTGCGAATTTATTCAATTGATATTTATGTATTGGTTAACATTTATTGAAATGTTTCTTTTTATTTAATAGTTTGAGGGTATAGAATTAAATAATTTTAATGAAGTGAGTCTTTCAGAAAACGATGAAATTATAGGAAATCAGGCGACTGAATATTCTTTTTAATTCGTTAATTAAAACAAATCGACCTTTTCAATTCATCTCCTTTTGAAGAGCCATTCTTAGCGAGCGCTTAAATATTTTCAAATTGCTGATTGCAATATATTTCTTTTTGTCTTCGAAAAAGTGCCAAATTCAATCGGATTAACCTAAATAACTAACATCCTTTCTCTTACTTTTCATCGATTTTTTCATTTCACCAAGATCTGATCAGAATCGTTATAATTTTGCCACTCTTCTTATCTAAGTGACAATAAAAAATCGTATTGTGTTTTAAAAATTGTGTGTTTAATTTAAGTATTTTGATTACATAACATTTATTTTTCTAGTATCTACAGGACTGTACTGAACAGTCTCACGGGCCATATGTTGAACATCCGTTTTAAAAGCTTATGATTGATCGAAACGCCATTGTGACTGTGGTATAGAATATGCTCGTAAAATGATGTGAATTAAATATTATAGAAACTCATTTTGGAAGTACGGACAATCTTAACGGAATTAACTTTAATTAAACCTATTTCTAATACAAGAATTACGTTTAAACGATCGCTTGTTGAACTAAATTTAAAAAGTTCAACACCGGAACGACGACAGATTACTGGAAATCTAATATTCTCGGCCTATTTATAGTCCATTGTCAGGATACACAAACATTTAGATATCGGGAAACGTTTCAACATAGGCCTAATATTCACATTATAAAATTCGAAACGGTCAACACAATATAAATAGCATTAGATAATCATAAATATATAAAATTGAATAAAACACACGATAAACAATCGTAAACAGGGGCGTATCCGGAGGGTGCTTATGATACCGCAGCATCCCTCGATACTAAAGCAACCAGTTTTGTTATTTTAAAATAAAATTAAATATAATAACGCTTATCGCGTGACTTTCAACGGCAGAAAGAAAAACTTAAACTGATATTTATCGGAAAAGCATGGAGCACACACTAAAAATTATTACATATGAATTCAAAATAAGTAATTTCGATCATTTCTAATGAAAATAGAAAAGGTATAAAATCATTATATTTGTTATGTCTCCTTTTGAAAACACACCGAATATAAATATTAGCCTAGTTTGTACAATTTATAATCAATCTATGATTAAAACTGATTGTCATTTTTCACATCAATCCTCAAATTTTTTTGGAATCTAGCCAGGATGTGTTGAGACTATCCTCATTGTGATTATGCCGAATACACGAACACGAATAAAAAAGCCTTTCTAAAACAAACACACACACAGAGAGAGAGAGAGAGAGAGAGAAAAGTTTAGAAAAAGAACTCTAAACAAATATCAAAATCATTATTTTACTAAATTTATTATAGCATTAATCTTATACGAATAAAGTAATCTTTTACTCCGGAATATAGCCTAGATATTTTTCTTTTTCAACTCACTTCCTTCTACTTGTATTATTCAATGAAACTTGTGCAGTTTTTTCCCGGAAGCCACACTCAACAAGAGGTATTCTTTTGTATAGGGATATGCATGCATTTCAGGCATTTTTTTTTACCCTCCTTGGTCCAATTTCTTCACAAGTTCTCTCATTTAACGTCACATTCAATATAGTATTTTATAACATTCGAATACATTTCGTACATTACAACAGCATTATTTGACTTTTCCTTTGCTTGTTTTTTATTACGATATTTAAACTAAGGCAGTTATATTCATAATGAATTACGAGTTAAACGTAACAACGAATTTCAGCACATTTGCTATCGACAGCACCTGAAAATGTATCGCTGCTTTTGAAACTAACAGTAAAAATTGGATATGTAAAATGTACATTTGCATTTTGAAATTAATTTTATATATAAAGTACCACTGAAATTTAATGTGAAGTTTAAACATTCGCCTCATTTAAACTAAATAGATTATATTCAAATGTTTCAATTCGATGTCATTCAAACTAACTTTCTAATTCATATGGGACATACCCGCAATATTTTCGTACCAGCAAATTGTTCCTCCTCCTAAAGCATTTTTTATGCTATACTACAAAAATTAAAAAACTAGATACAAACACTGTATACAACAATATACTGTATTCGTGAGTACTGCAATTATAAAAGTTGTTACTAACAGTAATCTGTTAGACAAACTGTATTAATTAAGTCTTAATGGACAAAGTGTGCATGCATATGCACACACATATATGTATATATATAAAATCAAGTGTGTGTAAAAGATTAAGATTCGTAATTATAGAATATTAACAAAAATTATTTATAAAATTTATTTTATATATATTCAAAAATCTAACACTGTACAAAACATCTCGGTATGTATTGAATTTCTTACAACAGAACTTTCATTACATATTTATACAACTGATACATAATAAATATCGTTAATTACAACAAAATTAACAGAACAATCATCAGAGTTTTATTTAAAAATAACGGAATATTACTATTAGATAAATCATTGTCTTATCTGATTTACCATTGTTCAATTTTTCTTATTGCCTTGTTTAAATGTGTACATTATTATTATTATTAAAATGTAGTATTTTAAATTTATTTTAGCTGCATCTTTTATAATGTACAGCAATTTATTTTCAAATATTATGCTTGATAAGGCCCAACAATAAACAAAAAACAAATATATTGCATTTGTCAGATATGAAAAACAAAATATATTATGTGAATAAAATTGACTAGAAAATATTTAATAAATCAGGTAGTAACAAAATATGAGTTTAAAAAAATACTATCTATATAAACTTCAAAAATTCCATACCACATGATCAATTAGATGATATTACAATAATTTTTATTCTACACATCAAAAATGTTTCTGTAATTTCAATAGCTTCTAAATTATACAATAAATATTAATTGATATAATACAGCTGGCAATACTTCTTACTCTGTCCAGCAGAGATTTTGCTATGTATTAATAGAATAAAATTAGTACACATTATGGGATGGAAGACTGGAATTCCAACCATTTCTTAGTTGCTCACTTAATTTCTTCATAATATTTTCATAGTTGGGATTATTGGCTTCGTTGTTATTCTCCTGTGGATCAGCAGTATGATTATATAATTCCTTTGCATAAACAACTGACCAATCTTGTGAAAATGTTTGTGGAGAAAATTTTATCCATTCAGTATATCGATATTCTTTAGTTTTTATAGTATAACCCATAACTTTAATATCATTTAGGTCTGGTTGATCACTATCTTTTTGAGGATGTTGAGAAGGTCTGGGATATTGACTAAAGGCTGCTGTCTTCCAAGAAATAGTTTTAACATTGATATATTTTTGTTGATCAATTATATTTTCTATCAATGGTTTCAGGCTAATACCTTCTGTACAAAACTTGACTGACGTTGAATTTTGGGGGCAAATACGTGGCGTTTCCAATTCCATTATATCACAGACAGTTGGAAGTATATCAACTAGTTCAACTAATTCATCTGATTCCATGCTTTTTTCTAGATGTGTTTCATTTTTAAGTTTTCTTCCTTCAATATAATCTTGCAGAGGTATATATTCAAAAATCCTTCCATTTGTTTCTAATACTTTAGGAATGTAAATCAACAGAGGCACTCTCAATGCATTTTCAAAATTGCTATATTTTGCCCATTCTTGATGTTCACCAAGAGACCAACCTACAGAAATGTAAAAATTAAAATTATCTTTTAGAATTTAAAATACTGAAAATAAAGTTTTAAATTTCAAGAAACCCTTGTGATTATAAGCATTAAACTGAGTTCTAACTCAATTCTTTTCAATGCTTATTATCATGACATGAAATAAGATTTATATACAAACTGTTAAAAATTTCCAATTTATTTCAAAGAAAGAATGATTTTTATTAATTCTTTTTGAATAAAATGTGAAAATGAATGTGCAATATAACTATAACAACATTTGTATATTCAAAAAAGAAAATGTAATAAAGTAGAGAAGCATGAAAGAAACTAACATTTTTAGTCATATGACAATACAAACTGTTGAATAAATTCAAAATAACTGGACTTGTTAATGATAAACCAAAATTTAGGCACCCATCTGTCTCAAAACATGAAGTATGAAATGCAATTGTGAGAGACTAAGCAAATCAATTTATGTCACATACTATAACCTCAGTCCACTTAATTCAATTGTGTGAAAAGTTTTGGCATATTGTAAACTTTATTCTTAAATATTCTATAAATGTACATATTTTATCATTCTGTAATTGAATTAATAAAGTTATTCATTATTTCTCAGAAACAGATATCTACCATATAATATAGAATATATTATTAAATATTCATAAAATGTCATTAAAAAGAAATTCAAACATAGTATATTTCACTTTGGTAATATAAACCAAATAATAATATTGAAAATAACATTAGTAAATAATCTCTAATATTGTTAGCATTCAGTTCATATCAAAATTTTGCTTACAAAAGCTCTCTTTTGTAATCAAAATTTAATTATTATTTTTTTTATGGTGAACAGCATGAAAACACAAAGGAAAAAAGTGCCTATCAGTCTCAATATATAGTTTATAACACAATTGTTGTCAAAACAAGGACTTTAAACATTAAGGGTTAATCATTTTAACCATTATTTACTCACAATACAGCAGTTTAAATTGTTGGTATTGCATTTTAAATTTTACAATGAATATTCACTCATTTTATTTTCATGGACTTTTTTTTGTTTAAACAGATTTTATTATTTATATTTATGTATTCAATTGTGTTTTTAAGAAATTTACGGTAATAATTCTGTTTTCTCTCTCTTATCTTCTGTCTATATATGTACCTAGAGTTCAATTTATACAATTCTAAACAACAATTTTCTTATAAAATTAAAATTTTTTGAAGTCAAATGTAATTTCAAAATACATAAAGTTCTGTTTCAGACAATCAACTTCAAATAAAACATTTTACAAAAACTTAAAAATTGTTTATTATTGCAAAGTTTTAAATATTTAAGACAGTTTGTTAGAATCTAGCTTTTAGAATTTAATGAGATTTTTACAATATTTTCCAAAAACAGTAGAGTCTCGAAAACTCGGCACTCGATAACCCGACAGTCCGGATAACTCGGCAGCACTCTGGCAAAGCGAAAAAACCCCTAGTTAATTTTCATTATAGACAGCTTTATGCCTCAAAGTATTTTTCTGAGTTCTGTCTTATAAGATAAATTACTGTACACTGTGTATTCATTAATTTTCATTTTCCTGTAGTAAAGGTCTTCATAAAGTACTTTTCCTTTGTTTAAGGGTATTTGGGCAGTTTATTCTCTGTTGTATTCTCAAGCAAACAATACATACAAGTACAGTACAGTATTTTCTGAGGAAACACTCGTACTTATTCTTTTTTAACCCCATTCCCGATAACCTGGCATTTTCACAAACTCGGCCACCCTTCAGTCCACATTAAGCCAAGTCTTCAGGACTCTACTGTAGTTGTTTTTCACATATTACTAGTGATAGGTTAATGATGATATTTAAACAAAACTGTCATTTTAAAATATTTACATATAAGTAACTGTTTAATAATAATTTTACAAAAGAAATATTACCATGATCTCCAACAAACATAATCATTGTATTTTCAGCAAAATTATTTTCTTCTAATGTAGAAAGTAATTTTCCTATCAAATCATCCATATATGATATTGAAGCATAATAACCCTTCTTAATAAATTCCTGTAAAGAAAATTTCAAAGTAAATTAAAATATTTTGTCACTACATTTTAAAATTATGAAGATTTTTAAGAATTTACATAATTATTTTAAAAAACATTATCAAAAAGCAGAAAGCCAAATCCTAATAATTTGTTGCTCTATAAAAACAGAATATAATATAGCAAGTCTTCACTTAATGTCATCAATACATTCTTGGAAACTGATGTTAAGTAAAACATATAATAAAATCAATTTTACCATAGGTTAATTGATATAAAGATGATATAATTTGATTTACATTGTAAGGAACCAAGTCTGGCGTTATTTTTATTTTTTTAGTTTGCTTTTATTATATTTTTGTTTGGGGCTTATGTTTAGTTAGGACAAAGGTTTCCTCACCAATCACCCCAGAATGTTCAAAACGAGAAGATAAAAGATTAACCAACTCACCGACAACGAAACGACAGCGCCATAGCTAGAATTCGCACTCACGTGCACACCCGAGCGGCAGAATTGTAAGTCCGCCCTGAAGGGGGGGACACCCCAATAGACTTTCTAGGAACTTGTGTAACCTTAAACTAAACATCGCGATAATTGTTAAAGAAATGTTGTAAAAGGTTAACAAAGTATTGTCGAGAAATAAGCTACCAGATAACGAAGAGAAAACAAAAATGTTACGTGTAGATATGTAAATGAGGGGAGTGTCTCAATTAGAACTATGACGTCACCTCAGACTATAAGTACAGTAGCTCAAGTGAAGACAGACGAGGTGAGCTCCTGAACCGAAAGCGTTGGTCTGCTGGTAGCAGTAAACAAGGTGTTGAATAGGAAATCCTAGTAGGAGATTGAAGGTTCGATTTTGACGATAGGAAAAGAGGAAAGTCTTGAGTAAAGAAAAAGGTTCCGAGTATTAATTGAGGTGACGGTTAGGATTGATAGTTATAAGAGAATTTGTATCTAAGTTAAGAGTTGAATTTTGTTTTGTCGGAATTCCAAGGAGAATAGTTCTAAGTTAGAATAAGACTTAAGTTTGTCGGGTTGATTGTGATTTGATTTTTTATTTAATAAATTTGTTTGTTTGTTTATAAATCTTGTACATAGTATTTGTTAGACTTGATTAAACATTTATTATTGAGATTTTTTTGTGACTAACTTTGTCCTTAATTTATTTCGGTGCACGCTAAAAGTCCAGGCCTGGCAACTAACAAACGCGAACCCGCGTAAAGTACCCGTTAGGTCCCGGCTCTTTAAGAAAAATTCGTTGTAGAGCAACAAACTGAAGGTAGTACTTTACAACATTATTCTAATTGGAGTGTGTTGCAACCTCCAGCATTTATTTCCCATCTCAGACTCAATTTTACTGTTCATAAAGAAAATTCAACAATAATAATTATAAATGATAAAGTTTTCTTTCCTCAATAACATTATAAATATACTTGTATTGACATAAAATAATGCAAAGTGAGAAACTGCTGTTCAATAACAAACATTTTCCAAAATGTAGAAGTAAAATAATATCAAATAAGAAATCTTTTATCCATATTTTATAGACATGATTTTATTCTTGTATATTATTATTATGTTAGGTTTAGTGGGTTTTACTCGGTTGACACTGGTGGCTCTGTTCTATGCCGGAACAGAGTCAAGGCATAGCAACCAAAACAAAACTAAAATTAAATAAGTGTGTCAGTGTCTGTATTCAGGAATTTCCTAACAATGTGGCATGTATTCAATATAGTGGGCATCTGTAGTGTGATGTATGTATTTCTATTCAATTGTAATGTTCCCAGGCTTGTGTGTAGTGTATGTGGTATCACACCTGTACAGGAGAGAATGACAGGTACAATAAGCACCCTATCCATCCTCCACAGATGCCTTATTTCCTGGGCGAGTTCTGTGTATTTGCTAATTTTTTCAGTGCATGTGTTTTATACATTGTGAGTGTTTGGAATGGCTATGTCTATAATGTATGTGATTTTATTGTGTTTGTCAATGAGTGTGATATCTGATCTGTTGTGGTAAATTGTTTTATCTGTAATTATGGCTGTCGTAGTACATTTTGTACGTGTTGTTTTCCAATACTGTCTGTGGAATATATTGTAGTATGGTTCGTGGATGTCTACCAATTTGTGTTACTTTGCAAGCTCTTAGTGTATTATATTTGCTACTTGATCGTGTCTGTGTAAGTAATCTGTCTGTGCCAAGAGCTTGCAACCAGAAGTGATGTGTTGTATAGTTTCTGGCATGATGTGACATTTTCTGCATGTGTCATTTGTGAGTGTTGTATCTTTGAGTATGTGTTTTCTGTAGTTTTTAGTATTTATGACCTGATCCTGTATGGCAATCATGAATCCTTCTGTCTCCCCAAAGAGGCATCCCCGATCTAACCAGCTGTTTGACGCAGTCTTGTCAACAAAATCCTGGGCCAGGTCATAAGGATGCCTGCCATGGAGTGCCTTTCGAGCCCACGATTGCTTAATGGTGTCTATGCTTTTTATATGTTGTGTCAAGTCTTTATGATGTGAGTAATTAATGGTGTGTTATTTGAGTCTGCTAGAGTTACTGCTTTATGTAACTGTGATGTTTCTTGTTTCCTGTAGAAAAACTCTTGCAGTGACTGTATTTGTTTGTAGTGAAGGTTCACTATGCCAATCAGACCATGTCCATCATCTTTAAGTGGAAGGGTTAATCTTTCTGTGGAGGATTTAGAACGATGATGTTTATGTTTAGTAAGTGTTGTTGTTGTTTTTCTTTGGAGTTGCTCAAGATGTGCGTGAGTCCAATGTATAACTCCAAAACAGTATGTTAGTACTGGGATGACATATGTATTTATTGCTTTAACTGTGTGTTTTGCATTTAACTGTGTTCTGAGGATAGCGTTTAATCTACTTTGGTATTCTTTAATTAATCTTTGTTTTATTTATGTATGTTCTGTTACTTTGGCCTGTTGAAATCCTAAATACTTGTAGAACTCACCCTCTTACATGGATTCAATAACATCCCCATTTCCAAGTGCAAAATCTTCTTTCTTCAGGATTTTTTTTTCTATGAAGTGTTTTGCATTTGTCTAAGCCAAACTCCATTTGTATGTCCTTGATGTATGTGTGATTTGTAGGAGTTGATGAAGTTGTTTTTGTGTGGATGCATAATGTTTTATGTTGTCCATGTACATGAGATGTGACAGCGTAAACTGTGTTGTTTTTCATGTCTGATATTGTAGCCATATTGCATGTTGTTTATTTAACATGTTGGATAACAGATTCAGGGCTAGGCAGAACCAGAGAGGACTCAAGGAATCTCCTTAAAAAATTCCTTGCCTAATGAATCCTTGTTTAAATAAAAAATTCCTTGCCATTTGTTTGTATGGAAGTGTTACTAACCCTGAGATGTAGTGTTGTTCTTCAGTGCTGCATAGTGTTTTGGAAGAATGCAATGAGTGATGGATGTATTTTGTACATGTGTAGAATATGTAGCAGCCAACTGTGTGGAATACTGTCGAATGCTTTCTGTAGTCTATATATGCCATGTGTATGTTTCTGTGTTGTTTATGTGCTTGCCGTAGAATGACCGAATCTATGAGTAACTGTTCTTTGCATCCCCTGTGATTTCTATGTCAATCTTTTTGTTGTTCTGTAAGAATGTCGTGTTCTTCAACATGTTTGTATATTTTGTTTGTGATACAGGATGTCAATAATTTGTATAGTGTTGGAAGACATGTAATTGGTCTGTATTGTGTGGGGTCAGTGGTGGTGGTGTTTTTAGGTTTCATGTAGGTGATGCCCTGAGTAAGAAATTTTGGCATGTCTTGTGGATTGATGATGATGTGTGTTAGATGTTTAGTTAGTTCCTGGTGCAGTGATGTAAACTTTTTGTACCAGAAATTGTGAATGTTGTCTACACCAGGTGTCTTCCAGTTGTGTGTTCTGTTAACAGCGTAGCAAATGTCGTGTATGTTTATTTCAGCACAGGGCATAGTTGGTATGTTATTCAAGTTTCTGTTCTCCTCCTCGATCCAGCCTGCAACAGCATTGTTTGTAACAGCATTGGACCAAAGAGAAGACCAATAAGTTGTGAGTTCTTCTTCTGTTGGTGTGCCACTGTGCTGTGTATCAGTGTTTGTTTTGGTACTGATTTGTCTGTAGAAAAGTTTTTCATTGTTTGTGAATAATTTATTTTGTTGTTTTCGTAGTGTACATGTTTTGTATCGTTTGAGTCTACGTGCTTTGGCTGCGAGTTTTTGTTTTAGTGTATCGATGTATTCTGTAATGTGTGTGTTGTGATGTTCATGTTTTGTGTGTGTTTTGATTTTCTTGAAAATGTTTTTGAGTTGTTTCTTTAATTTGGGTGTTATGTTGTTTTTAGTGTATTGTGTCAGCCTGCCTAATTGCTGTCTAATGTCATTTATTTGTGTTTCTATTCTTCTCTGCCAGGCAGGCTTGTGATAGAATTGTGTTTTGTGTGTGTCTGTCTGTGAGTGTATTTTCAGTCCATGGTGTGTTACTACTGTGACTGCCCCAGCATAAACTAATGTATGAATGTCTGAGAGTGTAGAAATTGAATGAATGTAGTTTGGTAGTAAGTGAGTGTTTACATAATCTAGTGTTTTTCCTACTGCCTTTGACGTGTTGATTTTTGGTATTCGTGGTCTTTGTGTGGGATCTGTACCAGTATATTTAATGAGTGTTTCCTGAAATATAAGTGAGAGCGTATTAACTAATTCTATGTCTATGTTATCAGTGATGGATGGGGAAGTGCCTGCAGTATCATTAGTGGTACTTGTTGTGTGTGTGCTGTAATCAGTGCTTGTTGCTGGATTATCCTGACAGGTTACGTGATCTTCATTAATGTTAAATGTTTCTGTCTGTTGATGTATTTGATCAGCAACCTGTTGTTTGATAAGTTCAAGTGTTGTTTGTGGGATAAGGTTGTTGTGTATAATTGTTCGTTTTTGATCAACAACCCTTTGTTCGGTGACAGTGAGGTGAGGATATTGTTGTGTGAATATGTGGTGTAGTTGTTGTCTGTATGCTGTCATGTTTGTTTCGAGTCTTGTGATGGTGTAGTAAGTGCGGATGATAAATTCGTTCATTTCTGTTGTCCATTTCATCCGTTGGCGTGGTTTTCCAGCCTTTGTGGTCTGTGGATGCATTGCCACAGAAACACCAAGGCTAGGTTGATTCCTCACATCTGTTGAGGGCATTGCAGTAGCCATGCTTGGGCCAGCGCTGCTTTCACCGCCGGTAACCAAGGGAGACTGTGGCCTATTTTTCGAATGTGAGCCTCTGCCTAACCCACGAATGTGGACCTTGTTAACCCGGGCGACGTCCGAGCCGGTATCACACTTTGATCTGGTTACTACCATGATAATTATCTCCACAGAATGTGGGTGTGGTCACTCTTAGCTTCATTTCTCCCCATAGACCTTACTGGCATAAGTGTCCCTACCAGGAGCTTGTACTCCAGCCTGCATTGCTCTATGATTCAGTAAAATTACTGGGCTCTCCCACCACGACCAGGTGGTGACCATGGGAGAGTTGTTATTATTATTATTATTATTGTTATTTTTATTTATAAGGAACAAACCTATAATAATATTTGCATTCATACAAATATATGTAATTTAAATTTCGATAATACAAGTTAAAAACTTAGAATTTAAACATAAATCAGTATCATATTTCTCGTTTAACAGCCATAAATGAAAAATGATCACAGATTGTCAAAGGAACCATTCAATAGTCTTAAATTCAAAAATCATTCAATGACAGTTATATTTATGATGACAAAGTAGCATGGAGCATGAATCAATAAGAATTTGTGTTAAATGGAGATTCTACATATTGTTAGTCATCAAAATTTAGTAGTAATGCATTTATGATTATGTATGTATGTATGTATGTATATATATAAGTATATATAATCATATATATAATACATAATCATATAAATATATATAAAGCAAAATGGGATACAAGGTAAATTAGAAATACTGTATTTATAAAACTTAATAAACCTAAAATTTAACTTTCTTGAAGATGAAGCTTGGTGCTGAAAGGACTTTTCTTGAAGACGTTTAATCAAATACAAATGTATTACAAAATGAAGGATGGCAAAAATAAATATTCAAATCCAACACATGCAATAATTTTTTTATTTTAGCACTGCAGTATAATATTAGTAATACTATGCAAATTTATATTGACTAATTTGTTTGGAGATATTTTTTAAACATTCTCTTATATCTTAGAAAGATATTAAGCTTTCCATATAATTTCAATTTGGAACTTTATTATATATCCTAGTTTATTAAAAATATTAATTTATATTTCATATTCATAAATTTCTAAAATTTTTCAAATGCACTTACTTGAAAATCATCAGGTATTGGTCCATAAGGAAAACTGATGTTTAGTTTTTCTACATCCTGCCGAGATCTAATATCCATCCAAGGATTCCAAGCAACATCAGGCATACCTTTAGGAATTTGTCTATTTGGAGCAAGATCAATATGAGGATATAAATCTGAAATATTCAATGTATTTATTTTATTATTCAAAAATATATTATTACAGAATTGTTTCAAATGTTGTACACCTTACTTGCATATTCTTTAGGAAATTTAAATGGAATGTGAGGTTTATGTAGACCAACAGCTAGAAAAAATGGCTTATAATTTTCAGATTTTTCTTTAGAATAATTTTCTATAAACTTTTGAGCTTGATTTATTATTTGCAAATCTGGTAAGGTTCCCTCTGGTTGTTCCTTTACATTAACAGGACAATATAAGTTGTTAAATTTTTCAGTAGATGTGTAACAGTCCTAAATAAATTCAGTTTATATTTAAATAAATGTTTTATTATTACAAAATATATAAAATAGTATAACAATCTAAACAACATACACAGCAACAAGGAGACCCTATGGCTTTGAGGAAACAGACTTTGATGATCTTTAGGGTAGGGTAGTACACCATGTGAGTGTACTACCTACACTAAAGACCAAATTCATAAAATATCATTTATTGAACATATTCTTACAATTAGTCAAAAATCTTTGAAATAGCACCCTCCTCCATCGATACATTTGTGAAGGCGGTGTTTCCAGGCCTGGAAGACATTCTGGAAGGCCTTCTCCGGAACATCCTTTAGAGCTGATGTAACATAAGCCTTGATGTTTTCAATCATGTCCCAATATTTCCCTTTCATGGCCCCTTTTAAGCAAGGAAACGCAAGAAACAAACAAAAAAAGTTGGCAGGAGCCAGGTCAGGACTGTAAGGTGGCTGTGGAACCAATGGGGTGTGGGTCCTGGCCAGGAAATCATTGACAGTGAAGGTGCTGTGGCTTGGTGCGTTGTCGTGATGAAGTTTCCGTATGTCCTTGATGTCACTTTGGCAGCACGCGACTAGGATTTCAGTCTTTTGAACACTTCCAAGTAGAAAGCTGCATTTACAGTGGTCCTGACACGTGCGAATTTGTGGTGGTTAATGCCTCTGACGTCAAACAAGACAATTCAGGAGGTTGATGGACGTCCACTGCAGGGTTCGTCAGTGACCTCCTCTCGGCCATCCTTGAATGACTTGTGCCATTGAAAGACTTGTGATTTGGAGAAGCAATCACTCCAAAAGGCCTGCTGAATTAATGTAAAAGTTTCAGTGGCAGACTTTCCAAGTTTAATGCAAAATTTGATAGCATAACGTTGCTCCACAAAATGATCCATAGCTCTGTGTTACATTAACTCAAAACGGGGTTCATGGGAATGAACGTCCTCACACACCGGCAGCTTGGAGGCAAACGAGACCGGGCGAGTTTTGAAGCTAACACCCCACACCACCTAGCACAGCAGGTTAGAACTAGCTACAGCATANAACTCCTCACTTCCCACCCTAGGGGTCTTTTAAAGGTAATAAAAGAAGAAGAAAGATTAGCAGAAAATAAGGATGATAATTTAAGGGAAACGGAATCTGATCCCGAAAGACAGATGAAAGAAGTAGTTAAGGCTATAGGTGACTTGAACAACCGATTTAATACATTTATAGGACAGTCCCAGGAGAAAGAAGATAAGGGTAGAGGACGAAATACGAAATATTTCAGATCAAAGGAACAAGTTCATAGCGGAAACCGTCCACAAACAGTTGGCTTCGGCCGGAGAGGAGAAAATGATCGGGTGCATAGAAATAATACTCGTTATGATTTAGATAAGAGGAATAGACACGAGCCTTCTAGGAATAATCAAGATAATTGGAGAGGGACAGTACGTTATGTCAGAAATCAGCGTACGCCAAACCAATATAGAAACCCTCACAGATATAAAAGGAAGGGTCAAGGTAGCAAGAAGGANATAATAGGAATAGACACGAGCCTTCTAGGAATAATCAAGATAATTGGAGAGGGACAGTACGTTATGTCAGAAATCAGCGTACGCCAAACCAATATAGAAACCCTCACAGATATAAAGGAGGATCGGTCAGTCGCATAAAAAGAGATCCTTACATATTAATATATGTTAATAATATCCCTGTAAAGATGGGGATCGATAAAAATTTGGAAACGACCGTCATAGATAAGGGCTTGGCGAAACGATTGGAAGGTAGAGCATCTGTAATCCTTGGAGAAGAGAACAAATTAGATATTCGTCCAGGAAAAACGATTCCGACATTAGGTGTTGCGATACCCCAGTTTAAACTCCGAGGCCATAAATTCACAAATACTTGCAAGATAGTGCGTTCTGAAATTACAGCCCCTTGCATGGGAATAATCGGCAGAGATATCCTAGAGCGGGAGCAAATAGAAATAGACGATCCTAGTGGAATGATTATACTACCAAATGGAAAGGAAGTCCATTTTTGCTCTCCCCGAACCCCAAGGAAAAATTATTTAAAAGGAGAACCGCAAGTTGATAAAGAAATTATCAAACGAAACGGAAGTAGTTACGGAGGTAAAACGCAGAAATCCAGACAGAATCAAATGAATAGAAATCGTAAGGAAGTCGATTCAAAGTATTCAGAAGCTAGTATATTACGAAGTGTGCGGGTGTCACCTCACCGCCGACCCCATTTACAAGCACACATAACTAATCGAACAACTAAAAAGAAACAAGGTATAGCGAAGAAGAAGATAAAGAAAAAGGCCGGGCGTAAGATTCAACAAGAAAATAAGAAGAAAACTTATAGCAATCCCATTGAGGAAACAAAAATAAATGAAAGTATGAAAATTAACCAGGATACTAAGAAGGGAACAGAATCCTCTGAGGAGTCAAGGGCTCAAAAACGAGAAGAGATAATAGATAATGTCGAACCAATACATGAGGACGAAAGGAACGTAGAAACAAGTCGTTTAAAGGGTACTACATTGGTTGAACTATACCGACTATTAAGTTTATTAATATACCTAATAACCCTTATTCCGGGGAAAAATATAAAGGCCGATGATACAACAAGAGAAACTCAGGAGATTGAAGAAGGTGAACCGAAAGTAGAAACCTTTAAGAGCAAAGTGCCAGTGGCCGTCTTTGAGAGGCACAAGGATTACCCTATAATGCAACCTAATAAAATTAGAACTCCAAATAAGGGCGCTAAGGTTCAAAGAAAGTAAAAATCCGTAAGGTGATAATAAAATATAAGAGATATTTAAATAGGAAGTCGCTTATCAATGCCGATATATTGTTGAATCATCCTTATTACTTCCCTTCTTGATTAAGGAATACAAGTAGCAGATTAAATAGAATAAGGAAAATTACGAAAACTTGAACTCACCTCTCAAGCTAATAGTAAATCCTATGTAAATCAGATAGACGATATAGTCATACAAGAAATATATAGAGGAAGTAGATTAAGTATATTATAATCGTAATAGAGAACAAGGATTTTGGAGTCCTTATAAATACCCCTTAGAAAGAAAATAAAGAAAGAATTTTGTTTAGAAAAAGCGAAACTACGTCATAACAAGCGGAACTGGATAGAGCGGAAACGGAAAAAGCCGATTCACTTCGATGCCGCATCTCTATAGAATTATAGAAGTTATATTCTATCATTAGTAGATTGTTTCATTCTGGAAATATCGAAGGTGTTAGATTTATTTAGTTAAAAATATTAGGCAAATAGTTACTAGCTGTTCAACTAAATGGGATAAAATTTTTCTTTTCATTGTATTAAGAAAAATGGAAGATGATAAAAATTTGAAGATAAGGGAGTTCCCCTTTATATTATAACAATTAAAATATTTTCTACAGGTGGAGAACGCTCTCCTGAAATTAAAANAACCGATAACAATAGGAAATATCTAAATCCGGATATACGGGTGAATTTATCACTCACTTCGTCATATTACTTCCCTTCCCAAGTATGAGATATTGAAGGAATAGCTTAAACCGAACGATAAGGAATTTACGAACCCTTGAACTTACCTCTCAAGATGATAGTAAATCCTATGTAAATCAGTCGGATAAAATAATTAGATGAAAATTTTTATATTGGAATACGAAGTGAAATAAATCATAGTAATACTAAGAAATAAAATAAAAAGAAAGGAAATGAAATCGTACGCAAATAGAAAAACTCGATAGAACTTTTAAGCATTCGAGATTGCGGAACTATACAGGACAGGAAAAGGAAGATGACGCAATCCATCGAGAAACTAGAGAATTAGAAAAATATTACTTCCCACATTAGTAGATCAAGTTCTTCCTAAAGAAATATCAAAAATGTTGGTTTCCTTGAATTTGATTTAGAATTAATGTTAAATAGTACTAAGAGAAACAATTAATTAAAAGATAGAGTTATTTCATGAGCTATATCCGAGGAAAAAGAATAATAGACATTCTTGAAGATAAGGGAGTCGATCCCTGATAGAAGACAAGAGTCCTTCGAGAACTTATTAAAAATATAGAGATATGATTTAGCATTTGAAACTATCATGAGAAATATAGAATTTGCGATGCAAGAATTTCACACACAAATAATTGAATTAAGAAAAGCTATTGACGTTTTAGAGCAAGGAAAATTAAGCTCGTATTTTATCTCAAAGGAAGTGATGTATCGTACACTACGAGAAATACAACCACAACTTCCGGAAGAGTATTCATTGATAGAACAAGTCAAAGCTGACACTCTCTTTAAATTTTACCAGTGGATTACTACAGTTGCTATCGCACTTCCAGGAAAATTAAGAATTTTCGCAAAAATGCCATTGAAAACGCCTAGTGGATATTTTGATGCTTACGAAATTTTAGGATTACCTACATATATTCCTGCATTGAAAGCTTATGCATATTTTAAGACTGAATATCCCATTTTAGCATTGTCAATGGATCGTCAATCGTACATGTTGTTACGTCATCACGAATTGGCTGTTTGCCAAATCTCACAGTTTGTTGTTTGTTCACCGGACGTTCCGATATTTCGAGCTCCACATCAGAGCTGAGAATATTCTTTATACATCGGAAATGATCAGAAGGTAACAGAACTTTGTTCAAAAGAAATTGTAAAGGATTTTTGTCCAATTTTTAGAAGAATAGACAAGCAAGGAACATGGGTATTTTCTACACCCTCTACATTAGTATTAGTAGTGAAATGTTCTGCTAGACAAAATTTGCATTCATCACCTTCTAATATAAGTAAATTGAATAATGTTGGAATCATAAGATTGCCAAATACATGTATAGGATACTTACCTGGAATTATCCTCACTTCGCATTTTCACATGAGATCAACTGTTCACACAGGAAGCAGTCCTAAGTTTATTATACCTCCGATTGAAACGATATTTTCCAAGATGGAATTAGAGAAGTTACAAGAGAGTATAAATACTATAGGGAATCCTGA